ATGGACAGATAATATGATGGGAAGGGGGCTAATGAAATTGCAAGTGCTTTGTGTGTTATATTACAAAAAGTGTGCGAAGATATTCCAAATATTAATCATCTGATTTTGTGGTCTGACGCGTGTGTTCCTCAAAACAAAAATTCCATAATGGTAACAGCACTGACAAAATTTGTCGAGAGACATTCAGGTCTCATCATTGAACATAAATTTGGAACACCTGGACATTCTTCTATACAAAAAGTAGACAATGTTCACAGTCACATTGAAAAAGCACTAGGAGTAGCCGAAATTTATAGCCCAATATCCCTTGTCAGAGTCTTACTTAAAGTTCGACCAAAACACATGAAAGTTATACAAATGAAAAAATCTCAATTCTTTGATTTCCAAAAGGTTTCACAACGATTTAAATTTAATATTCCATTTTTTAAACTAAATTATTTGAGAATTGATTCTTCCCGACATATGCAGTGTGATTACAAATTTTGTTTTTCTGAAGAATTGAAAACCCATACTATTTCTAGAAAAAAGAGCACCCGGTCAGATGGAAAATGTAAAACCTTTCCGAATCCCTCGGTATTGGAAAAAGACATGACATACTCGAAAGAAAAAATCAACGATTGATGCCATTTATGCCACTTTCTGACTGTGATTACTACAGACATACTCTTGGCATAGACGCTAATAATTAATATGAATTATATTACACGATAAAGCCTTTATTTAAATGTCAAAAGCATCAAAAAGGTAAAACAGTCAAATTCCCTCCGATTATATTGATTTTTATTGATTGTTACATATTAAAATTACATATATACAATGGTCAGCTTTTATTACAACATATAAGAAAATGTCTTCAAATATTATTCATTTGATTTTAATTCCATTTTTTTTATTAATTAATCGATCTATGTTTAAAGCTAGGAAATGTGGGATATAGAACGGGTGCCAATGTGAGATTGTCTTCTGCTACTAATTCCATATCGTTCTATATCCCAATTCCTCCATTGTCCGTTTTTGTAAAACAAATATATGAGAAATTTGTAAACTTTTTGTCAAAATGAATTTTATTAAAGTAAAAATAAATGAATGATTTTTCACAACATGTTAATTTTGATATATTCCTTCACTTAATATGGCATTTATATGGTTGTCAAAGTTTCAAATTTGATTTTCTCAAAAACAACAAGAACGGAGATAGAAAATTATAGACCTGAGGTGACGATATTTATCATCACAATAAACTATCCTACACATGCATATAGACAAAAAAAAAACACATAACAGTCTATGTTTGATACTGGACGTTGTTAATCGTTGGTGGAAGAGACAGGACTGCATAGGTGGTGTTGAGACTTAATTAATCTTAAGTAACAAGTTTGCTAACCATCCACGTGTTTCGAGCCGCTGTAATCAAGAGAACAGCGTGCGTTCGTCTGTTGACTAGTACTCTGACCGGTTGGGAAATAAGAGTAATTTTTTTTTAACAATATAATTTAATGATTCATGATCACTAGAATTTACTTGTAGTCTAATCATTCAACTATCGGTGTTTGATCCGTTATGCAGCAGAGCAACCGTTATGCAGATCAAGAATGTATTGTTCTCCCCCGATTATTTAACCGGTTAGGCAACCGTCAGTAGCTACTTTATCCACCGGTTCTTAAACCACTGCTTAGTAAACCTTTCGTAGCAATATTATGATTATTATGACAACAATTAGTTTTAGTCTAAAGTTTAGATGATGGTTCAGGATGGTTATAATCCGAGCCAATAAATGAAGTATACAGTAAACCGTTTGTACTGGTTACTATATGAAAAAATGTCCATTTGGCTATTTGGAGCTTAACAGAGCCACAACGGTTACGGAGATGTAATGTATTGTAAGAATTTAAGATCATAAATCGATTTGTTCCATATCTGAACATAAGTTCCTAGACGCTAGGTTCTCCTACTATACACATACCATCTTGGACATGATTCCGTACATGATTCCAACTGACTTAATAGCAACTATTAAATACATATATTGTCAAAAT